GGCTGGGCAGGTAAGTCTTCCAGGGGGCGAGGTGGGAGAAGTCCTGGCACGGGCGCCGGAGCAGCTGCGGTCCTCTGTCTGCTGCTCCGGCGCGGCGGACACTCGCCTGGCCCCAGTAGCCGTACTGGATTCCCCTATCCCACTCTGCCGGGCTCCGTTTCAAACTCCTTCGCACCTAGTGATTGCTCGTGCTCCTTATCCCTGGGTGTAGAGACCGACCTTCTCTTAACTGCTTTAGGGTCACTAGGATTTCTGTGAAAAGGAAAGTGAAACACGAGGATTTAAAGGAACTGTAGTTTTAACCCTAGAGAACTTGTGGAGAGGGAATGGCACAACGTTGCGTTCACATGCCCTTTGAACACTTTGCGTGGGCAGCTGCCACATTCAGTTGATAGGAAGCACGCGGTAGTAAAGGGAAGAGGTAAAGTAAATTTTAGTTGAGCAACATAGTGGTTTTGGAATACAGTGGTAAAACATAGTACTCCCATGTTTTTGTTTTGATTCTTTTTTTCCTTTGTTTTTAGCCCTCCTTCGATATTCCGAGAAAGTATTTTAGAGAATTCCATTTTACTTAAATTTTGTCTGTTTCTTTCCAATCAGCTTAAAATGGTGTTTATATATTTAGATTGTTGAAATCGAGCCAAGATCCATCAACAAGTTGTCTTTTAGATGCAAGTTTAAAGTATTGCAGAATCCGAACACTATCAAGTATGATCCTTGATAACATTGTCAAGTATACGTGATAATACCCTAACTATGGTCCTTTACTTGGTCCTAAAACCTCTGTTGTGTTCTCTTGGTTCAATCATAGTGTTTTCAAAATTTTAAATAGTGATTTTAGAATAGCCTCATTCGTAGTTTTGTAGAATTTTTTTCTTAACTAAATCTAAAATAATCGTCAGATTTTTTTTTTACATGTTAGCCAAATGTAAAGGGAGGTTGATTAGTCTAAATTTTAAAAATAAAGAGGAGTGCAACTTCCTTTCGTTTGCAGTTCCTCTAACCATTATACATAAGGAATGTAAAATTACTTTAACATCAGTTTTCTGGGGTGCTTTTAGTTAGAATAGTGAATTACCTTAAAGGTTTCTCATCTAGTGAGCCATACTTAATTGCACTATTAGAATTTGCACCTGTTTAGTAAAGTTTACTTTTGAAGTAAACTTTCAAGTTAGGCTGGTATGTTTTATCTCCTTTATAATATGAAACTTCAGAATATTTTCATCTTAGATTTTTCATTTTTTTCCCCAAAAGTCACCTCTAGGGGATTCAATCAAGTTGATAACGTTTTATACCAGTGGCTTACCGCAGTATGCTGAAATAGATTGTGTATTCCACAGTCACATTTAAGTCTTAAGTTTCATTTCCGTTATGTTTTTAGGGGTCCTTATAACCTGTTTTACATTTTTGTCTTTTTATCTAGCCAAAAGAACAAAAATGATAATCTTGAGGTTAGGAGTAATGAAACTTACTTAGAAATTACATGAGAATGTTACATATCCTTATCAGTGCTTACAAACTATTGGCTAAAATTGGGAACTCTAGTAGTTTTAAATGTGTTGATGAAGAGAGCAAAATATTGTTGATTTCATCTAAAACTGAAGGAAGAATAATTGATTGCCTAAGCACTACAAAAGTTATTTTGTGAGTAGATGGTATGGTAGCCAAGCACATGACAATGGGAATTTTGTTTTGTCTTGTATCCTGTCAAGAGAGTCCAGAACAGTTTGGACCAAAGGAGCATTTGAAGTATATACATTCACTTCTGTAACCTCATACTTTATTGTATATAGGAAGGAATTAAGGACACAGACAAATGTGGTTCCTCTGTTTTCATCCTGGTTCTTGTTAGAATTAAGAAGGGACACAGTTTAAACCGCATTACCCATTAGTTAGGAAATGTGCTGTCCTGTGTAGGTTGCTTCTCAAAGGGTCATCTGTAAGCTGGTTATCTAGAATTCAGCATAGTTTTAACCACTCATTTAATAAATATTGGTCACCTATTGGGTATTATAAAAGAAGACAAAGATAAGTAGTATTTTGAAATCCAGGATGGAGGGAAGTTGATTTCATAGAAATTTCAAAGAGATGTGCAATTTATATTTGGTGATTAGGAATTCAAGGCACCTTTTATTCAAAAAAAGAAAATTTTGCTTCCTCCAACGGCCGAATAACAAATTTTTGTCGCTTGTCCTTCACTGCTTCTGAACGGATGCTTCGGTATTGTCACGGTGGCTCCCGAGGCAACCTGAGCCTCATGAGTGGGGTACTGTTGCAGCTTGTACTCCAGAGACTATGCTTTCATAAAGATATATGTGACATTGTCCATTTATTTAATTTTTCCATTGTTTTATGTTATAAATTATAGGAAAAACTTGAGCAACATAAATAAAATATATATAAATGAATATACTTCATAGGGAGATTAATTTAGGTCATTAATAATTAAGCGGTGTTCTCATTGTGAGGTAATGAAATCTGGTTTAAAGGTGTGGCAAAAGAGATACAAGTCATTAGAAACTCAATGCAAGAGGTTTTAAGGGAAGAGGCAATATAATTATAGGTGGTTTTACAATTTCTCTCCTTCCCCAAATAATATAACCCAAAATCCTTAAGTCATATTTATGAGTGAGTATTGCTTCAAAGCCAAATAGCAGTGAATTATTTTTGGGGGCAACAGATTTCCAGGGCTTAAGAAATCTTAAATAATACTGAAAAGAAGACTGGGTTGCGGTTTTTGCTGTTTGTAGCACATTGGCTTTGAAGCAGCAGTAAGTCTTAGCCAGTGTTGGGCAGAGTGTATCCTCTTCTGATTGCCCTTAGATATTATATAGCTAACATAACTTGCCCTGTGACCTTGGGTATGTTATCCCATGTGATCTTACATATACAGCTCATTTTTTAAATGTTGGCTTGTGATTTTTTAGCAGTTAAAAGTATAACTGAAAAAGTAAGGTAGTAGTACTTGCATTTGATCATGTGATCCCATCGTGGGAGGAAAGATCTTCAAATCAACTCTAAGACATCAAATCAGCCCTGTGGAACATCTAGAGAAGCATCTAGAGAAAACTAGGCTTTCTTCTCCCAAAAGGATTCTGTTCAACTAAAATATATGTGTCATATCTCATACCTTTTTTTTTAAACTGTCATACTTGGAACAAGGATATTTAGCCTTGGGAATAGAATTTTTTGATACACTTGGTTGACCAGCACTCCTTAATGGAAAAAGCTGTCTATTATTTGACTTAGGGCTAGACCCTTTTTGTTTTAGACATTAAAATAATACCAGTTATTGTTATTTAGTATGTAAGAATTTTTAGAAGTTTATCCTTTCATGAAGTAAATTAATCACACAACTAGAGAGTTATGTTAAAATAACTACATTTTTCTGTGTGTGCCTGTTCTTTTTTTTTTTTTTTTTTGAGATGGAGTCTCACTCTGTTGCCCAGGCTGGAGTGCAGTGGTGCAATCTCAGCTGACTACAACTTCCACCTCCCGA